TTTCTATTTATTTTTTTCTCTCGAGCAAATGTCAATAAACTACACTGCTGTCAGCAAGATATTAATAAATGTAACGAAAGAAGTGTACAAAACAAATTAGATTATTTTGAAGACTTAAAATTTGAAGAAAGTTTTTGGTCCGAATTGTCATGTTTCCAAAGAATCACCCATGTATTAGTCTGATTTTAGAAAAAAAAACATTGAATTTTTAATCATTAAAAATAATTTATTTCAATGTTAAAATATTTACTTTAAAACATAGTAATAATTTCTAGTGACGCCCGGTGGCTTAATGGTAACTCCGCGCTTTCGTGCCACAGAACATTGGTTCGATCCTTGGAACGGGTAAGGTTGACTCTGCCTTTCATTCCTTCAGTGGGTCAATAAAATGAGTACCAAGCGAGTTTGGGAACTAAGAACTGTGGAATCCGCTTTCGGCTGATAAACCCAACCGGAACACACCCAAGGTCAAAAAAACTTAGATGGGCACAGTAGGTCTTGGCTCTCTATAGGCTGTCACGCCACTGAGTTCAGTTTATTAATTTTTAGAATGGGGATTGTATTGCAATTTCTTTATTCATCTTTAAATAATTGAACATAATTTGAACTTAATTTTGAACCGTTTAAAATTATTTTAGAGCTTTTACGTTGCAACGAAACTGCTTGACAATCGCCAAGGAACTACTGATATATGCAAAGTAGCGCTCTTGACAGCCTACCAATAACAGTTAAATAAAGGTTAGAGGGCGTGACTGAGCAGAACCCGTTATCTGAATAAAAGACAGTGTACACAGTATCTTCATTCATTTGAAAATTCATAATGTTAGGTATTTGACTAAAATACCACCGTAGATTGTTGAACTTATTTCCGTGAAATTCAGTGTTGTGATGTAATAATTAAGTGCAAAATTTTAGCAAGATATCATTTGAGTTCTTACGATAGTGGATGAGCAATTGGACGATTGGAAGCAGGTTCCATTGTCACCACTGTGGCCTCAGTATCGAGAATGTCAAATGTCATCTCGCGGTTAAAAAAGATCGTAGGAGGTAGAAATGGCTATGCGATAGCATATGTGGTAGTAGGAACACCACTCCTCAAGGGAAACGATATGTAGCCTCATAGTGAAAAGGAACAGAAATGTCACTCCTAACTGCAGATCTTGCTACCACTATCGGTACACATGTTTCTGCCTGAACTATCTCACGGCGATGAAATCAAATTGGTTTACGTGCACGGAAACCTATTCGATGAACGTGGTATTTGAGAAAGATTTCGTTGGTATGAGAAACGTATTGATTGGGGTAACCAAATGAATGCTCAAGAATGATGTACTCCAATGAATCCTGATTCAATATGACCAGTGATTCTGGCCACCAGTTAGTGTAGAGAGAGAAGGGAATAAGTTGTGCATAGCACCATTGCTATGCACAACGTATCATTAACGTGATCGGCATGACCCAAGCTTGCCGGTATAAGCAGACATCATGCAAAATGGCTGAACATCGCTTTAAATCTTGGAGTGAGGTAGCGTTACGGTATTGCACAGAGATTATTCTGGATCATATTCTTCATCTTAAAGGCGTGGTAAGTCCAGACTTTCTGTTTATGGACGACAATGCGTGGCCACACAGGTGCGCTGAGGTGTCGGGAAAAATAAAAGTAAATATATTGACCGTATGTCATGGCTTAAGTATACCTAGGAAACCTTTGGCAAACGTGTTTTACAAAGAATACACCTTTTCCAAACCGTGCAGGCTCTAAACTGCTTTCAGAAAGGAGTGGGACATCATCCTTTAAAGACTCTTCTAAAAAGTAATGGAAGGCATGAATAACAGATGCAACATGTGCATTAGTGTCCGAGGAATTCACTTATTTTACCGAAGTACTCATTTCTGTTTCATTCTGACAAGAAAATCCATTTTACATGACTGTTTGGAAATCTTCCAATGTGCCTATTTTTATTTTTTATTTTATCATTTCTCGATTTGTCGATATCTACACTATTTTGTATCGTAATAATTGAATATTCCCTATACTAAATATGAACATTGTTTCAGTTCATCAATAAACGTCTATTATTATTTATTCCGAAAAATATAACTCTTCCTTAACATTTGTCAAGCAGTGTAGTAACAAACAAATCAAAACCTAACAGTCTAAAAACAATTGTCTTATTTTAAACTTAATACATTCTATCAAAAGTGAATTCCATGTGCTTCTTGTAATTACATAATTAGCACTAGAAAGACGGAAACTTAGTATATACCTATATTGCCCGAAAGCAGTCAAAATGACTGCATTGTGAAAGAATAACTATTATGTAAAGAAATTTGTTTAAAATTAATTTTTAATATTATTTACAGCCATGCAACAAGCTATTAATAAGTATTAACAAAAAAAAGCTTACTTCACTCGGAAAAAAATAATTCTTTCATTATTTGAACATTTTAAGCAAATTAAAATGGAAATCTTCTTATGAGTACATCTTCCGCAAACATACTTTTGACATTTTTCACATATATTATTTTTTTTGCTTTTGTGGCAAAGTCGTACTTGACAAATTTTGCGTTTGCTAGAATATGTTGTATTTGATGATGCAGTTGATCTTTGTGGGTCTCCATGTTCTGATGAATTTTTCCGCCTTGCAGCTCTGTAATAGGTGGAAAGTTGTTCTGCTTATTGAAACAGGAACTGTTTTCTTTGCATTTGTATTCCTGTCGCTTCTTTGTAAAGGATCCAAGCATTTATAGCAGCCAAATCTAAAATATTGAAAAATATTAGGAGGTGCCATCTACGAGAACTAGATTTTACTGCATATTTTCTGCCCATTTGATCCGCCATATCAACTCCAAATTTTGTTTTGTTATAAAATTGAATAGAGTCCGGTAATATTTTTTTATTACTTTTATCAATTTTCACAAATTTATGCCTGGAACTTAGAACAGCTACTCTCTTATTCGGTTTGCTTTTATATATTGTAAGGACACAATTTTGTGATTTATATAGGAGAGTGGAAAAACGAGGCATGCTATCCTTCGTTTGTTTGGCTGCTTTGGGTAGTTCTCTTTTATTTCCTCTAATAGTTCCAACCAGTGTTGTTTTTTTGGCCAATAATTTAGTCGCGAGTGACATGCTAGTGAAAAAGTTATCGGTCGTGATATTCCTTCCGCAGCTTGTATATGGCTCGACAAGTTTCAGAACAACGTGTTCACTGAGAAGCATTGACGA